AGTCAACACTGTGATTGTGCCACAGTGTAATTCATGATGTTATCAATGCCCTCAACCACTACATACTGTAATTGTCTAAAACATTTATAAAATCAAGCTGATATGAGTTCACAGTTTGGAAAGAACAGATATTCCTGGAATGTGGTACACTATGGGAGATAAATGTGCAAATCTAAAGACGTTTGTGCGAAATGAAGGCAGCCTGACAGCACTCAATAGACCTTAACTATGGTATGTGCTATAGTTAGGAGATCTAAAGAGTTTTCCTTTGTAAGACCAGATAATTTTTTTTGTAAATCTTTACTGCTTACTATATGAACTCTCAATGTTTCACTGATATGTCCTCCTCATACACAAACTGCCTGTATTCTTTCCAAAGAGTGTTTTTGAATAATACTAATTCATTGTCATTAGATAGATCTTACTTGACTTGGTGAGCACCATGATAGATGATAGATAGATGATAGATAGATAGATAGATAGATAGATAGATAGATAGATAGATAGATAGATAGATAGATTAAATAGGTGATTGATAGATGACAAACAGAGAGAGAGTGAGCACATCTATTTGTCTCCTTTATTGATTGTTGTGAGGCTTTTCCTTCCCTCTGGAATGATGTCCAGTACTACACGTTTAGATATAATATTCAATTTGTGATGCTGGCAATTTTAAAGATAGGCCCAATAATTATGAGCCCCTGCAAATAAGAATAATGTCTACATATCTTCTGATAATACAGTTCTTATGAGTGAAACTGACAATATGAGCAATTGTTCTTATATTCAAGTTTGTGTTCATTTTTCAAAGTTAATTTTCCTGATCCCTCAAGACCTGGGATTTGTGACAACATTCCCCCTATAGTAATAATAAATTAGGTATTTGATAAACCTGACACTAGAAATGTAGCTTGACATATTACAAGCTCATTTGTGGGGTTTTGTTTTTTGTTTTTTGGGTTTTTTTGTTTTGTTTTTTTTTTGTTGTTTTTTGTTTTTTGTTTTTTTGTTTTTGTTTTTTTGTTTTTCCAGACAGGGTTTCTCTGTAGCTTTGGAGCCTGTCCTGGACTAGCTCTGTAGACCAGGCTGGCCTCGAACTCACAGAGATCCACCTGCCTCTGCCTCCCAAGTGCTAGGATACAGGCATGCATCACCACTGCCCAGCTGTCATTTGTGTTTTAATGTCAACATATACAGCATTTGGAGATCCACATCTTCCCTATATATCTGTATCAATGAAGGGTCAAATAATTTTCTCATGAAAAAGTGGAGCCTATAACTAGATTTCATACTTGTCACAAGTAGGTAAATCCAGTGATGCTTGGAGATTCAAGTGCCAGAAAGATTATTGTGGAAAGTTAAGGAAGCCCCAACAGAAGATTCATAGTAATGTGTTTGAGTCTCTGTTTCAGCTACAGGTTTACCACACAACAGCTGACATACTCAGAGGAGCAGTGTATCAAGAGGATATTTCTCAAGGGGTCATACTGTAACCAAAGGCAATCTTTGTTTCTCCTATGCATGAAGAAAGAGGGAGGAAGGGAAGGGGGCATTGATAAAGCACAGAGAGAGACACAAATACAAACTACACACATACATAGAGACAGAGAAAACCTAATAGATGCCAAGAATTAAATTCTATGGATACAGCTGAGACCTAAGCCTCTCCATCTACCTATTTTACCAAACTTTCCTTGGGAAATACTCAGAGATAAATTCTCTGTTATGTTCCTCTCCAACAGAGCTAACAGGACGTGAAGTCATTCTGGGACGATGTAGTCCCACTGTTCTTACAACAACTCTCTTCACACCTGAGGATAACAGTATCAAACCTTCAGGATCTCTTGGAAAGTTGGAGGATCTGCAAAATATACTGAGCAAAGAACCTTTCTCTTCCATGGGAAGTTATATTTTTATCAGGGTACAAGTAAGGCGGCTTAGCATCTTCCCAAATATAGGATGGAAATCACTTCTTTAAGAGTTTGAGGAAATGAAGTTGGCTTCCTTGCATTTCTCTTCCCATCTTTCAGTAACAATAAACTTTGAAATATCATTGATAAAAAGTGGGGACACTTAAGGAGAGGGCACTTTCTTGGCACTATATACAGTGAGTGAGTGGCAGTCTGTTGTTTTCCTAGTTGTGAGCACCATTGATTTGGTGAACAGTTTCTTACACCAGTTCAGTGCTTCTGTGCACTTAACATCTTAACAAGATGTTCGAAGTTCTCAGAACGTAAGGAGAGTTGAATGTGTGCGTGGTGAGAGATTGAGGATGATTAGGACTGCCATTCCTTTTTTTTTTTTCTTTACAGTGAATCGGGGAGTTGTTATATAGTATCCTGAGAGTCCTGGTTGACATGGCAGAGAACCCTGCCTGCTTGGATTCCTGCCTTGTCCTGTGACTAAAGGAGCACTTCATGGTTATTTTCAGGGCTGCCTTTCCCTTGGGAGACTCTGTTCTAGTTCACCTTAATTCATTATTGATTCATGGTCTATTGCTTTTCTTACATGATGATGACTGACAGAGTTAATCTGGAGTCTAACAAAACTTACTGCAGACTCTTTCATCATCCTGCCCTTTTGTAATATGTTGTCAAAACCCCGCTTGAGACACTGCCTTTCTATCCTCTTTTCCATCCATCCCCATGAATACCTTTTCCTATTAAGGCCAGCACATAAAAGGACTACATTTACTATTCACATTTCTGTCAGTTGTGCTTTACAGGGTACTCTGATTTTATTAAGCACCAATACCTAAGATGCCTACAAGTTTATCTTTTTTAAGTTCTCCACTGGCAGCTGGCTTTGTCTTGGTGCTGAAATAGACTTTTCAGAATTCCTATGCTGTGGATGTCTTCCTGTATGCTGTGAATATGTGTTGCTCTGATTGGTTAATAATAAAACCATTTGGCCTGTGGCAAGGCAGCTTTGAGGCAGGTGAAAAATCCAAACAGACAGACAGGAAGGGAAAGGAGAAGCAGAGAGACACCATCTCATCATCCAGGGAGCAGCATGTAATGGGATGCAGGTAAAGCCATGGACATGTGGCAATACACAGATTAATAGTTATGGGTTAATTTAAGATATAAGAGCTAGCTAGCAAGAGGCATGCCATAGACTATACAGTTTGTAAATAATATAAACCTCTGTGTGTTTATTTGGGACCAAGCAGCTGTGGGACATGGGTACAAGAGATTCATATCAACCACAGGGCTGGGGCAGAACCAGAAAAATCTTCCAACTACATTCCCAGCTCAGGTGGAGTCTTAGACAAGATGGCCTGCATAGTTTAGCTGCTGATATCTTTGGCTGCACATCACAGCCACATATAATTAGAAGTTCTGTGGCTATCCCATTATATGCAGAACTACCATCTCTGAAAAAGGGTTTGTAATCATCTTGTTAGACAGGTATCTGCTTATCAAATCTGATTATGTCAAGACTTTGTACCACACTCAGCAACTTTCCGGAGACTTTGTTTCCTAAAAGGCAGAAGTGTGGGCTTATTTACTCAAGACTGCACTTTGATGTCAGCAAAGGAGGGAGCCCTCAAACTCTTCTGGATTTGTGGTATATAACAGAGTGCAAATTCTTGGTTTCTGGAAACCCTCAGTTTGCATTTTGTCCCTATGGTCTTGATCTGTTTTGTATCAAGCTAACCCAAACTCATTCAATGGATGAACCTTCTTCTCTTGCCTTAAACACTAAACTAATTGAAGCCTTATTGAAATTTGTTGAATTCCTTAATGAATTACTTAATACTGATACAAATCAAAAGTCTCTTATCTAAAGTGTTTGGAATGAGGTGTACCAGATTTAATCTTTTTTTTTTAACTTCATAATTTGGCTGCACAAGATGAGATGTCTCAGGAATGGGATCTGTCACTAAACATTGATTTGTTTCTTATACACCTTGTACACATAATCCCAGGTAAGTGTATGCAATACTTCTGTGTGCCTGCATTTCTTTTCTGAGTCTTCCCCAGAGCCATGGGTGCATGCTTCCATGTGTGAGGTCAGGTCTGTGCACAAAAGTGTTGAGGCTTTGATGCACATCAGATTTGGTGTTTAGGGGTGCTCGGCCTGTACAATTTACCAAAACACAAAAGAAAAGAAAAAACACTTGAGTAATGTTTGTGCCCATGAGGAATTTAACTAGCTTGCATGATGGACTTTTACAGCATGGCTGACAAAAGGAGAATTACAATATGAAATTACTGCACGCAAAGCACCTTTTATTCAGCATCAATTTGATTTATTTCCCTAGATTTTTTTTCCTCGGATGGAAAAATTATTTCATCAAGAAACCAAAGTTTCTGCCAAAGTGAGTTTCATATTTTAATGCTTTTCTTATAAAACAAAAATCAACATTGTACTACATCATTGTTTTGCCTTTTTCCTTCTCTCGATTTGCTAATTTTTAAAGAAAACATCCACCAGCAGAAAACAATGTATTTCTCTCCAATAGAATGATTATATTTTATTGCTGCTTTGTTTAGTTTATATTTTTCTCAATTGGAAAAAAAAAGTTTAGGTGAAAATCTATCTAGCAAGAGAAGTAGTTTACATGGTTGTAACATTTAAATTGCTGCCCAAGAAGGGGAAAATGTAAAAAAAAAAATTAAAGAAAAAAAGATTTAACTGTGAAACATCACATAACTTCAAAAAACTTACCTCAATTGCCTACCACCTATCACATACTATAGCTCAACTTCCTAAACAGTATTACAGTCCTTTATTATAAGCCCCTATTGGGTCTATGGTATACATTTTTAAAAAAACAAAAAACAAAAAAAACGCTACTACAAAAAATTTTCTTTTCTCTGTTTTTTTTTTCCTATCACATACTTAAGCTACAGATAACAGTTGAATAAAAAGCCTACAGTAGGTATAAATGTAATAGTTAACTATCCTGTTTGCTGATGTTCTTTTCCTGGTCCACGGAAGGTGGCACCTTTTAATCCAGCATCTTCTCCTGCTTCTTGCCTTCCTTTTTCTTCTTCTTTGATTCTGCTGCAATTTAAAAGAAAAAGAAAATAGCATCAAGGTACTAATCTATGAAAGGAACGCCAATTTTCTTATAACTGGCCAAGATCAACACACAAGATGTTTGCTCCTGTGAAGTTGCCAGTATGTGTGCATGTGTACAAACAAGAGTTGGGGGAGTACATATAAGAATACGCAAGAAGAACACAGCCTATCTATGTGAATAGTTAAACATGCTTGTTACCATGTTCGTTGCCTCCATTTGGAATGTCAAACATGTTTGAAGGTCCTGCTTAGAAAACTTATGTAGCAGGCTGGCCTCTCTTAGGAATAAACCAGGCCTCTTCTTGATGGAAGGCTTTAGTAGCCTTGCTTAGTTCCAATGCTTTCATAGTCCCTTCAACTGGAAATGTTCATTAGCATTCACTTTTTTTCTTTCTAAGCAAACAGTTCCAATGTGCATCTAGTCTGGATCTTGACAGCTACTAACATATTCAGGCAGCTCTTTATAGTAAAACTATGGACCATATAGTATGTAGTTGAAGGGAGCTTTGTCTAAAGGATCATACAGAGTTGAGTAAATCAAACAGAGGGTATCAACCCCCTTTATACTAGATCCACTCATAAACCCATTAGGAATTGCACCAAATGGCTCCATCCTTTTCTTTTCAATCTTTTTACTATCTCTCTTTTACTGATATGAGAACATAATGAGTCACATTTGGAAGGTTAACATTGCTTTCTTATTTTTAAGAATGAGAACTGAATTAACTCTGTGGATAAAGTCAGTTTCATTTCAGTAGTCTTCAAGGTGACCATAAGACAAAGCTTTGGTGTGATCATGAGGGTCCCCACTTGATCTAGGGCAGAACTTCACTTGGTAAAATCAAGTGCTTTATAATGATCATGCAGTGGCCACTGTGCAAAGCATTAAGAGCCAGGAGGATCCAGACAATGATGTGTAACAGTAGGGAACCTTAGTTCACATTGAACAGAACCAACTGGTATGACATACCAAATGTTAACTCAATCCCCAGGCTCATCATCATTTTCTCCGTCCTGCACTGAGACTGTGAAGCAGACATGCTTGCCAGGAAATGAGCAACTGTGAGACATGCAAGAGGAAGGGCTACCTCCTGGAAGAATGTCTGCTTTGTCCCTTCAGTGATACCTAAGGGACATCCTTGTTCCAGACATTTTAAATGTATTATGGGCACATGTAGACAATAGAGAGACATGCATACATCATGGCTACACACTGATGTTTTAGCTCCCTGGGTTTGTAAACTCTCATCCTTTCCTTAGCCAATGACTAAGTTTATACAGGATAATGCTCAAAGTTGGGATACAGACACAAGATGATTGTAGCTCTGTAGCAGTTAGCACTATTACATTAGAGATGCTATTGTATTCGCAATGTGTTGGAAAGTGTTTCTAAAATCCTGAGGCTTTCTAACAAAACAGTAAAATTCCAAATGCCTCCTATTGCTATGAATCATGAATATAAGCTTCATTATTATTATGGTCTCCAAGAACCAAGAGACTTATTGCAAAGAATAGCAACTACCTGATGTTGTCTACTGTGTGAAGATGTATTGCTGTGTTTGGTATAATGAAGTGCTGAATGGCCATTAGCTAGACAGGAGAGGATAGGTAGGATTACATGGGAAAGAAAGGAAGAGGAGGAGGAATCTAGGCATGAGCAATTCACCAAGGAGATGCAGAGGAAAGCAGGATGTGCAGTACGGAGATGAGGCAAGAAGTCACGTGGCCAAACATGGATTGAAAAATATGGGTTAATTAAGTTATAAGACCTAGTTAAAACCAAGTTTAGCTAAATGCCAAGCTTTCATAATTAATAATAAATTTCCTTGTCACTATTTGTAAATTGGCAATCTGAAAAAAAAAGGCCAAACTAGAACTATCAGTAGGAAAGACAAAGGAAATAATAAGAATGGGGAGGAATGATATGAGCCATATAGCAATCCATCCTGGGCCCATTTTCTCCATGCAGAAGCACTGAGACTTTTCTTAAGAGCATACCAAAAAGCAAGCGCCAACTTACAGCATTGCTTCCTGTCACTGTCTGACATAGATCAGCCCTGTGTTGGGGAAATCAGTCAGTCTCCATTTGTTTTCTGCCAATTGGTAAGAATAAAGCCTGCATCCTCATGGAGGAATATGGGGAGTACTGTGTGAGATGATGGCCTTTGAGATCCCACTTCACTACAACTGCCTCCCAAACATTCATTTATTCAGTGAGAAATAAATATGCATGCCATCTCCACTATAGATCAGATGCAGCTTGAGATTCTCCCATGTGAAAGTGAAAGGTGAAAGGAACAAGCTGCATCTTCAAAGAGTTGACATCACAAAAAATCCAAAGAGAAATGTTTTCAAGATTGTTCTATGTGTATATTTCAAATGTTTAAAGTATTTTAAAGGCCACACTTATGTTAAAGATCATGCCAGGGTTCTAATAACTTTGAGGCCAATTTTCCTTGCTAATTTACTGCAAATGCATTGCAGATTCCTGTGACATAAAATAGAGAGTATCCACGAGGAAGATGAATTACTAAGAAGAAAAATGTTTATGAATACTAGGCAGTATGAAAAAAGATCATTTCTCCCCTCTGAGTTATTTCATCATTCTTAGAAATATTAATAACTTTCCTGTTTTTAAATGTAGCATGAGCTCATGTAGACAATATAGAAACATTTACATGTTAACAAGAATTGTCCATCATTTCCCAATATGGAAACAAAATGGTTATTGGTAAATTCTACTTGTATTTCTTCCTATTGTTTTTTTATTAGGAATGCACTGAAAACTGTGAGTGCTAGAGAGATGGCACAGTGGTTAAAAGTATTTGCTGCTCTAGCCTTGGACCTGGGTTATGTTCCCAGCATCCACATAGAACTCCAGTCCCAGGGAATCTGATGCCCTCTTCTGACCTCCATGGGCACCAGGCACATACTTGTTTCACAGACATATGTGTAGACAAAACACTCATACACATAAAATAAAAATAAATAAATATTTAAAAATCTGTCGAATCGACTTTCTGCAATACTTCCATAAACCTTGAAACATGACCAAGTAGAATTCCCTGACATGAAATAAAGCATCCCGTTTGCTTTCAACAGTTCTTCTTTTGCAGTTCATTTGGATTGCTGTCATCACTTTTGTTGTTTTTGCTCACAAACCAAGAAGCTTTAAAATTTCTGTCTGAGTATAGATAATAAGGAGATGATTTCCTGGATAGAAGAATAGAGCATTTTGAAGCTCCAGATCTGTATCACAACTTCACTTCTTGTGAGTTCTAACCTAAATTTTTATCAGCAGTTTCTACGGAATCTTATCACAGTCAATTTGCTCCACAAAACTGAATAATCAAAGAACAGGAGTCATCTCTTCTTCCTCTCTCCCCAGTCCTTTAGCAACACTGCTATGCAGTTGACGGAGTAACTTCTAAACTATTCTCTATATTAGGAAAATGAGAGAAATGGTGTCAGAAGGCAGCCCTGAGGGAGTCAGCCATTTAAACACGTTAAGGACCAGTACTTCCACATTAAATTGAAGAGGTGAGTATTCTGGGGCAGATTTATCTCAGTTTCAAAGCAAAAATGACAGGGAAGAAGAGAGGTCATGTGGTGGTTAGAACAGGAATGGCCCCATAGGCTCTTACATTAGAATGGAATGCTTGGTCATTAGGGAGCCTCACTACTAGACAAGGCTTAGGAGGTGTGGCCTTGCTGGAGGAAGTGTGGTACTGGAGGTGGGCTTTGAGGTTTCAAATGCTCAAATAAATCCCAGGGTTTCTTTTTTCCTGTTGCCTGTGGATCCAGGTGTATAAAGTGCAGCTCCTCCAGAGCAATGTCTGCCTGCATGTAGCTATGTTCCCTCCATGATAATAATGGACTAAACCTCTGAAATTGTAAGCCAGGCCCAATTAAATGCTTTTCTTTATAAGAGTTGCCATGGTCATGGTATCTCTTCACAGCAATAGAACACTGGCTAAGACAGTATAAGAAGAATGAAGAGGAATTATATGAGCCATACTATGTGGTTCTTGTATCTCATATGGCTATTAAATGTACAGAAAACTAAAAAGGAAATTATGAGAGAAATGATGTCAAATATCAGCCCTTGTTTCCTGTTGGCTTGAGCTAAGTAGCTTTGGTTCAGTAAAGCAATGGGAGAAATCAATGACAACAACAGAAATAAGTCACTCTATCCTAGTGGATAAAATAAAAGACTCAAAAGTGCATGCTGTGCTTTCAGAGTTCAGGAGTCTACTATGAGTTTGTTTGGGTCAATAAATTACAGTAACCTACCAAATGAATAGGAACCTATCACTACCATATAGAAAAATCATAGTGTAAATACATCCTGAAGCCTGGATATCATCAAAATAGTTTCTATATTTGGTAGACCTATTTAAAGTGACTCACTGGCACCTAAGAATGAGCTATCTCATTCACAAGAAATGTATGATTTCTCACACTGCACCTCAAAACTGACAATGAGCTTTGTGGACTCATAAATGCATGACTCTTTTCCTTACCTCAATCCAGGTTCTAGTTGCCTGAGCTCTCCAAAAATGCTGACTTTCATTAAATTCTCACTGAGTTCCACTTGAATTATATACATATATACATATATATATATATTTGTATTATATATATATATATTTATTTATATTACAAACATAAATATTTGCTGTGGAATAATCCTTTATACACTGTGTGAATATATGTCACTGTGATTGGTTTAATAAATAAGCTGACTGGCCAGTACCTGAACAAGATAAAGTTAGGCAGGAGAGCCAAACTGAGAATGATAAGATGAGAAAGGACAGGGTGAGAGAATCACCATCCTGATGGAGAATGAGTCAGACATACAAAATGGGACAGAGGCAAAAGCCATGAGCCTCAGTGTGGCACATAGGTTAATAGAGCTAGTAAGAGCTAGTTAGTAACAAGCCTGAGCTATTGGCATTTGTAATTTATATTAAGCCTTTGAGTGATTATTTGGGAGTAGGCAGTTGGGACAGGAAAAATCACCTACAAATATTGTTAAATATTAAAATATATTGATATTAAATCATTATAAAGTCATTTAGTAATATATGCTGTTAATATGATTAATAATATATAATATATTAAATATTATACACAGTTGTACAGTACAGGAAGATTATTTATTTCAACCAAATAGAACCAAGTTAATAAAAGTCCCTAAAGAAGTTAAGTATTTTCCAAAGGAACTCACACACCTATCATAAACTTATAAATAAATAAACAAATATCAATAAATAATGTGAATAGATAATAATGACAAATAAAATAATGTAAGCCAAGTTTATTTTCCTTTCTACAAGTATCCCAGACTCCTTTTCCTGCCATCTTACCACATTTTTTGTGTGTGAGAGGAGGGGAAGGGCATATGATGTCTTCATTGCTTTCTCAGTAATTTTATAATGTACTTTCTATGTACAGTTGACACAAGAGAAAAGCCAGCCATGTGTCAGAGTTCATGTGTCAGTGTCACTGACTGGCTTGACACTTGAATATATCAGATAGAAAATGGACAATTTTTTATTATTATTTTACTAATGTAATTGCATAATCCTCATATTTTAACCACCTATTCACACACAGAGATTTTTCTGCAAAATTCACTCCTCTTTCCTGAGTTGGTGAACCACTGCCATGACCTTGCACTCAGCAATGGCTTCCCTACTGACTTCTTCCACCCTGAGGCAACAGGGAAGATATCTAAATATTTAATATATTATTTCTCAAACAAGGACTCAGGTAGAACATTTGCCATATTATAGATGATAAGCAATTATATTGATGGGATCTGTTAGAAATGTCACATTTCCACTTAGCTCACTATTGTTTTCCACCACCATACCTGATAAATACTCTAATATAGGATCAGCACCAATAAAAATAATTATGATTCACAAAATGAGGAGAAGCTTGAACTTCAGGATGTGAAGATTTTTGCATCCTAAAGTATAACCCTCTGAATTGTTCCTTGTTTGCTTCCATATGAATTTTTCTCGGGGGTTCAAAAAATCATTGGCATGGATTAAATGAGGGTTTTTATGGGTTGAATGTGTTCTCCAAAGTCCATGCTAAAATTTCAATCCACGTATCTCATAGAGCCAATATATCTGGAGATAGAGCCTTTGCAGGAGTAATTCAGTCAAAATGAAGTCCTAATCTGGTGACTGCTGTCCTCAGAAGAAACAATTCACACACAGTGAGGACACTGGAAGAAATCAGTCATTTCCAAGTCAAATGGAGAGATGTCAGAAGATACCAACCTACACAGATCTTGTTCTCTTACTTGTAGCTTCTAGAATCATGAAGAAATGTAAATGTGTTGTTTAGGGTACTGAGTCTGGGATGCTTTGTTATAGCAGGTCTAGTAAATTGATACATCACTTAATTATTACCAAAGCAGCTCATGTATGTATATCCTTAAGACCCACTATAGAAGGTCAAAATATATGTCTCTTGCTTTTTTCATTTGGCCTACGGAAGAAGAGACTATGCTGCAATTGTAACGTACTGGTGTTGAGGACAAAAGAGGCTGGGCCTGGGAAGATGGACCAGCAGGCAGGGTGCTTGTTGCAAGAGTATGAGGACTTGAGCTCAGAGCCCTAGAACTCACGTACAAGGACAAGCTTTGCCAGGATGGTCTCTGCAGTGCGTGTCTGTAACCCAGCATAGGTAATGAGAGAGAGAGAGAGAGAGAGAGAGAGAGAGAGAGAGAGAGAGAGAGAGAGAGAGAGAACATAGAGGGTCATTGCCCAGGCAGCCTAACCAAATTGGTGATCCTGGTTCAGTGAGAGATCTTGTCTCAACAGACAGGGTGGAGAAGCTAATGAAGAAGACAGCTAACTTCAACCCCCACCTAGCACATGCACATGCACACACCTTAAAATATAAAGAGGCTTATAGAGGAGGGAGAGCGAGAACCACTGTGTGTCTTCTGTCATATTTAGAATCCAAATCTATATATGTAGGTGTGTGACTTATGACATAAAAGCAAAGGGGGAGACTATCTGAGGGAGGGAGGTGA